ACCCCTTCTGTTGTTCGGTACACAATGGAGCGTAATAAAAAGGTGTTCTGTCCTTCCCGGCCTGTGTACAAAAGACTAACTGATCGGTTAAGGACACTGAAGGAAACGGTAGCGAACATACAGCAATGATGCCTACGTTTCGATTTCATATTCGGCTAGACATAATCTCCATCCATCATATCCACTTTGCAAAAATTGTGAGAGAGTTCGCTTCCAGATAATCCCGTGCTGACAAGAGATCAGTTCAGTTCAGCTTTTAAAACCACTAACTATGCACTTTCGTGCGCCGGTTTTGGTTGTTGTCTCATGACTGCCCATTTGAATAAAAGAGCAGAATGAAGGTTGGAATGTTGGGAGCATAGTCAAACAGAAGATAGAGAATTCACATGGGTGAAGGATGCAGGGATGACTAGATACAGAAGCGTCGCCGCTGGCGACACTCGACCGTATTGGAGTTCTATTTAATCTTAAAACCGGTCCCCGTTATCTTTCATTAGTTAATCATCTCTCTGACCTTAGAGCTACCAATCAAAGCATTCCCAAATCTGTATCTGTTAAATACCTTGGTGTCACCCTAACCCATAACCTGTCCTGGTCTGCTCATGTCATCAACGTTTTCACAAAATGGTTGTTTTGACAGACTTGAATTTTTGTATGGCAATTGTGAAAAGTTCAGTCGCCTCGGTGGGATTCGAACCCACAAAAGTTCGAAATCTGCCTTCTTATGCTCACAGGTTCAGGAAACTGTCCGTATCACAATCTTACTTCTAAATTTGTGATTGCCTGCATTCTTCCAAACTGGTTACACTGCTCCCCGATTTCATCCCTGGACTGAAAGAAAAAGGCTTTACTTTATTTCCGAGATCCCTTAAACTTCTGTTCCGCTGCAGTGGAGTTGATAGGGTTATGTTAGTTAATTTCTTTGTTTCCAAGCATCTTGATGCTTGTGATAGACAGGATAACATGTGATCAAGGGAATTGGCTGCACCAAGATATCGCGAAAGCCATGTCAAATCCCCGAACTCGCTCCAAATATCAACTCCTTCTTACGCGTACCTCCACATATAGAAACTGTGTAATTCTATGCCGTGCCCGGTTACTGGTTAATCGTCAGAATATTCGCATCTACCTCGGGGAAAAACTCTTGCATTAATTTTTCTCTCATTTACCAAAGTGTAGAATTTCTTTTATTGTCTTTTTGTTTACAATTGATTTTATTTATCCAGGGTAAAAATCGTAAATTGCTGAAAATTCACACTTTGGGTGCATAATTATTTTCTTGACTTGACATATCACTGTGTCCTTAATCAGCGGTTCCGATGATCATGGGATCCCCATCCAGGAGGCTTAATTCAAGCTGTGAGCACATCTCCTGGTTAGGGTTTTCACATCCTTATGCCACGTATGAGCTGGAACACTGGTTACTTTTATCCATCGAGCCCGTGCCTCGACGAACAGCACACAACATGGCAATCTATTTGATGATGTGGACAAGACATGCCCCCAAACAACCCAGTGCATGGAGGTTGACCACTTGCTCCAGTGGATGACCGCGGTTACTTCATCAGCGATGTGTCCACCGGGTGAGATATAGTTACCCAAGTATCAGATTTACTTACTACCCCAGGTAAATCCCCAGTTACAGTGAGGTTGGGAGCAGGATCAACCCAATCCTGCAGCAACACTTCACACTTTGAAGGTGCGAAACGCACGCCGAATATAGTGGCTACGCTACTCCTCAAACTATGCAGAAACGCTTGCAACTTAACCGGATCTTCACCTAGCAGTACAGTGCTGTATGCATATTTCAGATAAGTCTACTACCTGGGAGAAAATCGATACCGCTATCCGTGCACCACTTTCTGTGGTGAGCTCGGGCGAAAAAGCGCCGTAAGCTCAGACTCAGCTAGTATAAAAGTATTGCAAGATTGAAACTAACTTCTCGGGCACACACATCAGACAGAGTGGTCGACTGAGCCGGAAGCCGCCTTCAAATTGAGGAAAACGGAATGGTGGGTCTACAAAAGGTGTGTTCTAGAATTTGACGAAGAATGAAGATGCGATCGACACAACCTCGAACAGGTCTAAAACCAGCCTGATTCTCATGCGTACACTGTTCATGTGCGGCAGATAATCAACGGAGTATGATGCCCGCGAGAAGTTTAGAGACAATGTTGATCAAACTAATTTCTCTGTGGTTTTTACGAGATGACCTACCACCATTCT